CAAATGTTTTCCGTATACAAAAATACTTAACATTCAATAGATTATATAATGTTTAAATCGGTGCCAGAAAGAATATACTATAGTATTTTAATATCAACAAAGTGGTCTATTTACAGTATATGAATTTTGTTTGATGAACACAACATAATACAACATTAAAAGCGTTTCTACTGTTATAAAATCATGGATTTGGGAGGATTAGGGGAACTGAAGGTGTCAGAAAACATGAAAAACACGCTATCGTTGCCTGGCCAATCATGAAATAGCTGTCTTACCATCAGAACTCATGCAGCCGCTCTGGAAAAGCTGCACTGACTGAGCTGTACTGACAGAGTTGCTATTCAAAGGCATACGTCACAGTAACGTGGCACTGGTGTGGTCTTATGTCACACACATTTTCTAGCTGACATGCACTGCTTCAAGTCCGATGCACCCCATACAGCTAAACACAAGCAACAAATGGGTTAACACCACTATTTAACATCATGCATCTTGGATCAATATTGGGAACAAACCATAAATACCAATAGGAGCAAGACTTGGAGTCATTTGACATTGACATGAAAGCAGACCACCAATCTCTGTGATAGAATGCACTGAAGTATAATTCACAATAAGACAAGGAACACAGCATTTAAACAGTTTGTTTTACTATAGAATTTGTATTTAAGCATGAAAAATGTCTTCAAACTTTCCAAGCATAATCATTTCTTAAGATTGTGATTGTCATCTAGTGGCTATGACCAATGATTTAATATTACACAAATAATAGTAGACTAAAATTTAAACTTAACATTACTTTATTATGAATTAATGATGAGTTAAAGCATGTGCTAATGAAGAACTACCTTTAATCACAAAAGTCACATTGGTTTATTTGTGAATATTGGCTACCTTAATTATTTGTTACTTTAAATACACTTTAGTTTTAGCTAAATGTAACTTACATGAACTCATGACATGTTAATGTATCATCTTTGTGTCATGACTTTACTTGGAGGGGTGCATTATAATTAACTTATTCTCAGGGCCGGCCCGTGGCATAGGCAGTATAGGCAAATGCTAAGGGCGCTGTACATCCAGGGGGCGCCAGAAATGAGCGGGGGTAAGTTGGTTTTGTTTTCAATATTCCTGACACACATTCAGTGATAGATGGCAATAACTCAAAAACCTCTTAGCCTAAAAAGATCTAAAGTGTGTTTCCTACAATAAGACAAAGCTGCTTATGTTTCACAGCTGTCTTTTTCTTTTTTTTCGCTCGATATTACGAGCACTGCTCCGTTTAGCCTGGGATATGCGTTTAGCCGGGAGAGCTAAGCTCACGCGGAGTGGAGCTCTCTGTAAGGGACCGTCGGAAAAGTGCTTCTTTTTTTTTTCTTTTTTTTTTTCGCTCTATTCTGCTTGTTTTATTTTAAACACAACTAATTTTCTCTTAAATGAGCACAACAGTTACTAAAGTAGTCGAATGCTTTATTCATTCATTCATTCATTATAGATCTGTGCATTCTAACATTAACACCTCTGTTATTAAACAAAACACAATGAGAGATTCATTTGCTGCTCTTCACTAAATAGCAAATACAATTAAAAGTGAAATAGATTTTATAGCTTTATTTAATTTCTGTATAGGCCATTGATTTTAATAGGTTAAACCTTTTATTTTATTGACACCATTTTCTATTGTTTGCTATATATTCTATCATTTGAAGCTATTTGTTGTCCCATATTTTAACATCCCAACGTTGATAGATATGACATAACATTGCTAATCATTAAATAGCTATAGTGCTATCTGTTAGTTTTATGTCAGCTAATGTTATGGAAGGGCATGGATGTTTTGGAAAATAGTAACAGTAATGTAACTACCCCATCATTCCTTCCTCAAGCTAATGTGTAAATATTAGATCTATTCAGCAATAATGTTAATTGCATTGGCATATTTATCTGACATTTTCCCAGCTTGTAGTAGTCGATCAAAAAGCTGTTTAGTTTCTTATGACTTCACACTAGCAGTGGAATTTACTGCGATGTGACGGGGCGCCACCTGAAATCTTGCCTAGGGCGCCAAATTGCTTAGGGCCGGGCCTGCTTATTCTTAACTAGTTATGAACTAATACTAAATTAAGGCATGTGCTAATCAAGAACTAATGTTAATTACAACATGAGTCACATGAGTTCATGTGTGAAAAACAGCTACCTTAATTACTTGCTACCTTAAATACACTTTAGTTTTAGCTAAATGTAACAAACATGAACATATGACCTGTTAATGCATCTGTATAATGACTTTACTTGAAGGGTCACATTATAATTAACTCATCTTAATTACTGAAGAACTAATGATGAGTTAAAGAATGTGCTAATCAAGAACTAACTTTAATTACAACATGAGTCACATGAGGTTATGTGTGAAAATGGCAACTTTAGTTACTTGTTACCCTAAAAATACATTTTAGTTTTAGCTAAATGTAACTAACAAGAACTCAGGACCTGGTAATGCATCAACTTTGTGGCATGACTTTACTTGGAGGCACATGTTATCATTATCTCATTTTTAACTACTTATGAACTAATAATGTGTTAGGGCATGTGCTAATCAAGAACTAATTTTAATTACAAACATGAATCACATGAGTTCATGTGTGAATAACGGCTTCCTTAGTTACTTGTAACCTTAAATACACTTTAGTTTTATCTAAATATGCTCTAAATGATCTCATGACCTGCTAATATGTGTCATATTTGTGTCATGACTTTACTCGGAGAGGTACATTATCATTAACTCGTTTACTTAACTACTCATGAACTAATGATGAATTAAGACATGTGCTAATCAAGAACTACCGTTGATTACAACATGCGTCACATGAGTTCATGTGTGAATAATGGCAACCTTCATTATTTGTTACCTTAAATACACTTTAGTTTTGCAACTAATATGAGCTCATGATCTGTTAATGTATCTGTATCATGACTTTACTTGAAGTGGCACATTTTAATTAACTCCTTAACTACTCATGAACTAATGATGAGTTAAGGCATGTGCTATCAAGCGCTAACTTAAATTGCAACAAGTCACAAAAGTCACGTGTAAAACATGTCTAGCTTAATTACTTGTGACTTTAGATACACTTTAGTTTTAGCTAAATGACCTGTAAGTGGCCTGTAAATAAATCCTAAATGACCTCACGACCTGTTAATGTTTGTCATCTTTGTGTCATGACTTTACTTGGAGGGGTACACTATGATTAACTCAGTCTTAACTTCTCATGAACTCCTGTGCTTAAACATTAGGTGCGTTCGACATCATGCGCGTTCGACATCATGCAGCGCTGCGCAGATTGTTAGAAATTTCTCTTAAAGCGGTGCATGCTGGTTAGAAATTTTGTCCGGATTGACGATGCACCAAAGCCACATGACTGTCACATGTGGCATCAAAGTACCACAACAGCACTCCAAGATCAGACAGCAGACTCAGCCAGTGCAGCATCTGAAGAGCGACTGATGGAACTGAGATGACGACAAAGATATTACACAATTGGCCGAGGTTACAGTATGACAACAACCATGTATGTTTGGGGTTTATCATTGAACAACTTCCTATTCAAAAGGTTTAATACAAACAATTCAGTTTCATACCCTCTCTATCTTGTACACATCATGCTTATTAAAAGACTACAAATATTTTACTGCAGAAATCATTTTTGTTAAATAATTTTGTTATAAAGGCTAGATTGTTTGCACAGGTTTATTTTCTACCTTTTTATATACAGACTATTTACTATTCAGCTAATGAACGATTTAAATGATATATTTTAGTAAATAACCTACGATTTATATGAAATATGTATATATATATATATATATATATATATATATATATATATATATATATATATATATATATATATATATATATTTTTTTTTTTTTTTTTTTTTTTTTTTTTTCCCTGTCAGACCATTTGTACACATTTTTAAAAGTAACAATAACCTGCTCTTTCTGGGAAACTTGTACTTAAAGTGTAGCTCACTTATTTTAGGAATGTCCTTTTGTTCAATCTCTTTGGATTAACGTGCTTTTTTTAAAATGCTTTCATTATTCAAAATAATCTTAATCATTGTGTAAGACTTAATCAAAACACCTTGTTTTGGGCTTTTACACTAATATATAATGAAAAGTTTTATTTCTATAAGTCTAAATAAATGTAAAGCCCTTTTAGCATATTCAAACAAGAAGTATTAGCCTAAAGAGTGATGCTCAAACTCCTAAAAGTTGTGCTTATTGCCTTGTATTTGAAAGGCCTATTCATTTGTATGTTCATATTACCCTCTCGTTTCCCCTTATTCATAATTATTCATAATTCCCTTATCGTTTAAAAATGAACTATAGTTTGTAGAGACAGCGTTCTGTTTCATTTATGCTGTAAATCTTTTGTTGTTATAAATAAAAAAAATGATAAAGACGCCGTGTGATCGATCATCGTGACTGCCGCAACTTTGAGCACCTAAGAGTCCAGCTGTCCAGCTTGATGGCTCTGTTTTCAATTCCGCCCCTGCCTGCGCTCGGCTAATCTTGTTGATCACTGGCTGCAGCCATGTTTCATGTCGAACGCACCTATTATTATGTTCATTATGATGTAGACAGAACACTTTTTTATTATGTTTTTTCAATGTAAACAGGGGTATATGAGTAGTTACGGAAGAATTAATGATATCGTGCCTCTCGAGGAAGAGTGATGACATAAACACTAAAAGGTAATGAGTTTGTGTTTGTCACATTTAGCTGAAACTAAAGTGTTAATTAATACATTAACAAACATGTACTAACAAATAAATAAGGTAGCAATTATTCACACGTGAGTCATGTTGCAGTTAAAGTTAGTTCTTGATTAGTGCATGCCTTAACTTATCATTAGTTCCAAATAAAGTAGTTTAATTTACATATTAGTACATCAATATTCCTGCACTGTTATTGTAAAGTGTTACCCAATCACTCTTACCTGCAATGATACTGGCCATTTGGAACTACACAGATGCCACCGTTGAGACAAGGCAAAGTGCCACACACCTCCGCTTGCTCCAAGCATTCTGGGTCTACACAAATGCATGTGGAATTCTGTATAAAAGAAACAGAACACCCCAAGGGAGTTGGTTAGATGTCAAGTGCAGAAAGATGCTGAAATCTAAGCGCACACTAAGGTGAGCTTGAGCATTGTTGTATTTGCATCACCTAACAGTTTTCTACCAAAATACTCCTGGTGCCTGGTAAGAGCTGGGGCTTAGCCCAGGGGATCTGCAAACTCCTATTTCCACTAATCTGAAAGCCAAACATGTAAACGGATAATGTAACCCAGTCAAAAGCAATTATAATGCAGCATAGGGTTTGTTTAGTAGTCTTGATGCCCATTCACACCAAAAACTTTAATGATATAATTCTAAAATTGACCTAAAAATAAAAGTTCACCACCATTATGATAAGGGCACAGAAGAACTGTATTGTTAGAACTGCTTTCAGGATGATTTTTTTCAAACTGACAATAAAAACATTTTCCTTAATCGATCTTTTAAAGGGCGGCATGGTGGCTCAGTGGTTAGCACTCAGCAAGAAGGTCTCTGGTTCGAGCCAGTTGGCATTTCTGTATGGAGTTTGAATGTTCCCCCCATGTTTGCGTGGGATTTCTCTGGGTGCTCCGTTTTACCCCACAGTCCAAAGATATCTGAAATGGGCAAGCAAATCTGGCCATAGAGAGTATGGATGTTTCCCAGCACTGGTTTGCAACTGGAAGGGCATGCGCTGTGTAAAACATATGCTGGAATAATTGGCAGTTTATTCCACTGAGGCGACCTCTGATAAATAAGGGACTAAGACAAAGGAAAATTAATAAATGAATGAGATCTTTTAAAGTTTGAAATCTCTTTTGAGACTATAATAAAAATTTCATTCATTCATTCATTTTCTTGTCGGCTTAGTTCCTTTATTAATCCGGGGTCGCCACAGCGGAATGAACCGCCAACTTATCCAGCAAGTTTTTTTACACAGCGGATGTCCTTCCAGCCGCAACCCATCTCTGGGTAACATCCACACACACTCATACACTATGGACAATTTAGCCAACTCAATTCACCTGTACCGCATGTCTTTGGACTGTGGGGGAAACCAGAGCACCCAGAGGAAACCCACGCGAAGGCAGGGAGAACATGCAAACTCCACACAGAAACGCCAACTGAGCCGAGTTTCAAACCAGCGACCCAGCAACCTTCTTGCTGTGAGGCGACAGCACTACCTACTGCGCCACTGCCTCGCCATTTTTATTATTATTATTATTATTATAACAACAACAACAATATTAATAAAAATAATATTAATTAGTATTATTATTGTTGCTGTTGTTGTTATTATTATTGTTGTAATACTACTACTACTCATAATAATACTAATAATAATAAACAATTATATTTAAAAAATATAATGATAATAATAAAATAATAAAATAATAATTATAATTTATTATATATAAATTAAAATATTATTAATAATAACAATTAATTATTATTATTATTATTATTATTATTATTATTACAACAACAACAACATTAATAAAAAAATAATATTAATTAGTATTATTATTGTTGCTGTTGTTATTATTATTATTGTAATACTACCACTACTACTACTACTACTACTACTACTACTACTACTAATAATAATAATAATAATAATAATAAACAATTACATTTAAAAAATATAACGATAATAATACAATAATAATTATAATTTATAATATATAAATTAAAATATTATTAATAATAATAATTAATTATTATTATTATTATTATTATTATTATTATTAATAATAATAATTGATTTTTTAATTTTAATTAATTATTAGTTTTTTTATATTATTATAATCCCAATAAATCAGGGGAAAAGCATTGAACCACCCAGTACTAAAAAACAAAAAAATAGTAGAACAGACAAGTCATTAGCCTGTTCTGCTCTCCCAACTTGCACTAACCAATCCTGACATCAATAATATTTCTGACTCAGTCATTCAAAGATGAGTAATAGAAGCCGAGAACAATTCCAGATGAAAGTAAAACAGAGACTCCCACTGATATAAGCATTAGTGCAGTTCTGGGGCGGCGTGAAGGATTATTTCATTTTCATACAGATGAGCTCTCTTAGGAGGATGTCTCAGACAGACCAAATCAATGTCAAACAAATCAATTTAATGTGTCTGAGTATGTGTGTGCGTATGTGTGTTAGATAGAGATTAAAGTCTATCTTTACTGTCCATGCTCTAAAATGACTAAGGCACCTCATGAGAATCTACCACAGACAGCCCCATGTGCTGAATTTCACTGCCGAGTAAATGAAGGTCACACAAGACAATTAGTCCGCCACTGGCCCACTTTCTTCCAAATACATCTCTTCATTACAGTAATGGATCATGAACAGCAGACTGTAACTGTAACGATCTGGGGGAACATTTAGAAGTGAACACGACATAAATGCCCCATAGTTCCATTTTTTTTATCCTATACTGAATTTGCAACAGCTTGCTTGAGTCCAATAAAAAAAAATGTTACATATGCCATGGCCATTCTGCTATCAAAACAATTATTAATAGTCATTTTAACCTTCAATCCGAAACAGGCTGATCTGTCATCAAAATTTGCATGTGGCATTTCAAAATTAATTACATCCTCTCAGGCAAAAAAATAAAAAATAAAAAAAATAAATTGCATTAGGAAGAATGCAGAAAAAATGCCTCACAAGTTTGTCCGTGGCACAGGCTTCGTCCAGTTGACATCCGCTAGACTTGCAGTAGCTGTCAGCCTCAGCGGTGGTCTCACAGTTGAGGCCTGTGAAACCCCCTGGGCATGTGCAAACATATCCATTAGCAGTCTCCTCACACCGACCATCATTCCGGCACGGGTTTGAGTCGCAGAACAGCCTCTTCCTCTCACAGTAAGTACCTGCAATGAAAGAATTTATGGAGAATGAATATTAAGTGATTATAATAAATTTGAGCTCAGACACATGCTTCTGTCAGAGTGGTTTTGATTTAGACACTGGGTCTCATTCACTAACTGTATGCATGTTAGGATTTGTGTGTAAAACCATGATGATGAAATCAAGATTCATCAGTAAGTCTGACATTTTTATCTGAGTTTATTACAATGAATTTAGAACTGATTTAAATTGTAAGCATCCTATTACCAAAGGCACAGGTTTTAAACTCAGTTCCTGGAGGGCTGAAGCTCTGCAGTTTAGTCCCAACCAACTCTAATTAAACACACCGGATCAAACTAATCAAGTCCTTCAGTCTTGTTTGAAACCTGCAGGTAAAGCTGCGGTCACATTAGAGTTTGAGCATGCGATATTCTGTCGATCGGTGCTGCGAAAAGGGGCGGGATTAAACAAACTTATTAGACATTTAAAAAAGCGAGCGATTGCTCCATGTTTTAAATTTCTGTCCAGAGAGGTCATGTTTTGATCCTCGATTGGTCTCACGCAGTCAAGTGATGCGATTTGGCAGGTCAGAGTTCACCAAGCTTGAACTTTGCACCGCAGCAATCTGCGAAACTTAACTCATGACCCCGCGTTTCCGGTCTGACGCGTTCGCGTGCGAATTAATGGAATTCTATGGGAGGAAAAGCCCAGTGTGACCGTAGCTTTAGTGTGTTGAGGCAGGGTTGCAAATGCAGGACTGTTTGACAGTTTGACACCCCTGACTTAAGGCAATTCATAAATAGGGATATGAATTATTTAGATGTACCTTTAAAAATGTGCATTCTTCAGTAAATACCAAATTTTTGTGGTCTATATTTATTTTTTTCTACAGTATAAAGAAGCACATTTCCAAGCTTGTACTTCCCATTTTGTTCTAATGTTAATCGACACGTCAGACATTTAAATGGGACCAAAATGAAGCTCCGAAATACTGGTATGTAGGGTTTTCAATAACCATAATCAAAACGCTTGTGTAAATATACCCCCATGATCGGATGCTTTCTTAACTGCAAATTTATGTTGTGAGCTTATTTTGATATGCTCAAACTTTTAACGAGTCCTCTAAATGTATTTCCTGTGACTTTATCAAAGCATTGAATCACATTAACTGTCTTAAATGGTACAGTACAAGTCAACTAGTTAGAAGATTAGCGATAAGTTGTTGGCTGCAGTTTGCTAATCACTGCTGTATTTCTAATGACATAAATAAGTAAAAATTGATCATGTTTAAATGTTCATCAAATATATTAGTAATCTAATTTAAGATCACAGTTCTTTGTAATGTAATGTATTTTTTAATGCCATGTCAGCAACTAAGGCAATTTTCATGGCAAGAACATTTCAATAATAAATATACAATTAAAAAAAAATCAACAAACAAACAAGTGAATACATAAATTTTAAAAGATTTTTAGCGCTAATACGGGATTAAAATTCAAAAAAAGAAAAATTTCTGGTGTCATTTCATAAAAAAAGTATTTTGGAATAATTAAAAGCAGGACAGTCCAGTAAAATATGTTTTACTGTAAGGGGAATTTTGCAGAACAAACATTGAGTACGGGCTTGACCTTTGAGCTAAAAACCATGGGTTATTCTTGTATGCCCAATTTGACATCTGGTAAAAATCACTTGATCAAATCTAGTCTTAAAATGTTTTAAAATTCAGTTTGAGATTTCAGGTTGTATTTCATACAGTAATTTTTTTTTTAATACAACAGACTCCTCTTGCTACTTGTTTAAAATGTAGATATTTCCTATGACTTAATCGAAGCATTGAATCACATGTACTGTACCATATAAAGGTAAGAGACTACTGTAAAAGTCCACTAGTTAGAAGTTTAGCAATAAGTTGTTAGCTGCAGTTTTCAAATCACTGCTGCATTTTTAATGACATTTAAAAAAAATAATAAGTTAAGATGATTCATATGGGGCTGCAGGGTGGCACAATGGGTAGTGCTGACGCCTCACAGCAAGAAGGTCGCTGGTTCGAGCCCTGGCTGGGTCAGTTGGCATTTCTGTGTGGAGTTTGCGTGCTTTCCCCATGTTCATGTGGGTTTCCTCCAGGTGCTCCGGTTTCCCCCACAAGTCCAAGGACATGTGCTACAGGTGAATTGATTAAACTAAATTGGCCGTAGTGTACGATTTTTTTCCCAGTGATGGGTTGCAACCAAGCGGCAACCTCCCGCTCTCCCTCAGGAAGCCAATACGGAAGTAACTAAAACTGCAATTCATCCGAAATTCCGCTAGTCCTGGCCGCTCCTGGCTCCAAAACAGAGCAAATTTCAATTGAGCCCACTGTTAGAATGGCCAACTTTACAGCAGAAAAAAAGGTGTTTACAGCCTGGTACAAAAAAAGATTTTGGTTAATACAGCTAATATTACCCTTCATGACAACTGTGAGGGGGGTCAATTTTTTTATAACTCATCCGTTTCCTTTATATTAAGTTATATTAAGTTTGCATAATTAAGGGCGTGGCCACTTGAGTGACAGCTAGGTCTCGTTGGTTGCCGTCACATGTATTTGTTTTATTTAAGATCATTTATCGTTTATATTTATATTTAGAGCTGTAATGCACTCCAGAATCTGTCAGATTGATTAGCTGTAGGCTCTAGAACAGTCATCTGAAGCGTTGTCATACAGTGTTATGCTGGATTTCATCAATAGTCTTACAGTAACTAACACAGACTATATCTAAAGTGTTTGGAAGTAATTCGCGTTTTCCTCCTGTTGAAAAACGTCATAAGAACAATGTTTAGTGGCTCAATGTATTACAGCAGTGTTTTTAAAAGTCTAAACACTTTATTGATATAGTGTACAACCAAGCACATGTGGTCAGAACACAAACGAGTCACAGGTGATAAAGTATTAAGCATTTCTCCCAAAGTAAAGTGTGTCTGAACCAGGTCCAAGCTAAATGCTAGCAGGTGTCTGTAGCTCCGCTCACTCTCCGCCTCTTTGCCCTTGTTTGGTATCTCGCCGTGGGTGTGATGACGCGTGACCCAAATGGTGACGGTTGGCCGCGCCTACTTGTGGCTTCTTTTGCGCTCTTCAGAAACCTATGGGTGACGTCACGGATACTACGTCCATATATTTTACAGTCTATGGTTGCAACTGGAAGGGCATCCACTGCGTAAAACGTATGCTGGATAAGTTGGCAGTTCATTCCGCTGTGGCGACCCCAGATTAATAAAGAGACTAAGCCAAAAAGAAAATGAATGAATGAATGAATGAATGAATGAAATTGGCCATAGTATATGAGTGGTTGAGTGTGGATGTGAGAGTGCATGGGTGTTTCCTAATGCTGGGTTGCGGCTGGAAGGACATCTGCCGGGTAAAAAATATGCTGGATAAGTTGGCCGCTGTGGCGCCCCTGATAAATAAATGGACTGAGCCAAAGGAAAACTAATAAATAAAGAGGAATCATGTTTAAATGTTTTTCAAATATATTACTAATCAAATGTAAGATCAATGTTCTTTAGCTTCTGAATCTTTTTAATAGGTGTCTGACTGTTTCGTAAGAACATATATTTATGTTGTTATATCTAAAATGTCATTGGACAAGTGCTTCAGCATATCAAGCATTCTGAGAATCTTAATGTGACGTCTAACAGCTCTCATTTATTCCAAAGGAAAAATGAGAATATAAAGCTCATATCATCCTCCCACTTCTCTTAATGTGGATATTTAAAGATCTAAATTAAGTCCCTATTGTCTCTAAACCGGACATTCTGGCTGGCGGTTTTGGATAGGGAGCATCTATAGGCAGTGGGTTCCTCTAAGGTAACTTTGGACAGGAACATCACTCTGATTTGCGCTCCTCGCAGGTTAAATTTAGACTTGACTATGCAGCACTGTAAGTTCAAGGTGAACATGATTTGATTTTATTCCCTAGTGGTGCTCTGTTTTCTTTACCTTTTTTTTTCTCGCCATGTTCCTCAGCAGGAGCCAACTCATTTATCTTCCTTGTTACTGTGTTTTCCTTTTCTTTTGTCGTTCAGTTTTTAAAGCATATTCCAGTGTGTTAGGCTCACTAAATGAAGCAAAGGTTGACAGTCCCAGAGGCACCCAACTGCTTTTGAGGACACACCATTGGGCATCATAAGTGTATGTCTCTCTGCAGCGCTTCTCAGGGATCCACAGTGGGAAATTGAAAATGAAAAGCTCTTGACATTATAAAACTCAAAGCTCAACATATTCTTTTATGCTTCCACTACCTTTGATTGGCAACCCTTCTTGTAGGAGGTCTTTTGAAATGGGAATGCATCATATAGGTGCGCGATCCACTGTTTGATAAAGGTTGATGACTTTGTGAACGTTGATGAAAATTATAAAAGCAGTGATTTGAAATAGATAGCGCAGCCCTGCTGTGCACCTTGAGATATAACTCATCCAAATCAGAAGCCAAGCTGTTATTAAAACCACCTAGGAACTAGACAATTACAGCTTTGGAATTACCACAAAAGCATGGGGCAGGTGAATAGGAAAATTAATAGCATATCCAATAGGGCATATCCCATTAATTCTGTAACATGCGGATACAAACACCACTGGCAGTCTGAATAAGGTACACAGGAGAGTGGAATCAAAAGAAAATCTCATTTGAAGTGTCCCACGAGTGGGCCTCATTATTATGTGTGTGTAGGCTTTAGTCCGTAAGGGCAGTCGGTACCGGGCCAGCCGTTAACTTCACTATGATTAATGGGGTGACAGCTTGGGCAAAGTCGGAGAGCTGCTGGCCCCACAGGGGGCCCAAACAGAGCAGAACTGGAGACCAGCTACTTTCAGTTCCTTACAAGGTACTACGAGAATATGCAATGAGACACTATACAGATATCGCAGTGCAACAGCTTTTGCTTATCTGTCACCTGATAGAGGGGAATCATTAATAGTATAAAGCCCAATTCACACTGCATTCATGGACGTTGATGATCAACAGATTAAAGAATATCATTTCTCATAAATACCACGACCAGACAAAAGTAGGTTTAGCATGTTCAAAAGGCAAAAAAAAAGTATCATGTTGCCATATGGTTACACCGTGGAGTAGAGGGTTAAGAATGTTTAGTGACACTTTTTTTTTATTCTTTTACACTTTTTTGTGCAATATAACCAAATATCTACAAGCAAATAAGTAGTGGAAAATCTTGTCTCTTTTACCTGTTTCATAATGCTCCTGCAGACCCACAGAGACCCGCACCTTTTTGCGTCCGGCCAGGGTTTCAAAATCTACTAAAATGTCTGGGATTTAGTTTTGCTTTCATTTTCTAAGCTGTTGTTAATTTTATGCGCACAGCCAGGGGAGCGAGAGAGACATTAAAGGTGCAGTAGGTGATTGTCTTCAGAAACATTTTTTGTTGTGCTGGTTGAAAGTCTCTTCACAGTCCAATAGTAATGATTACAGTAAATGATCTAAATGTGTTTGTATGTATTTTTATATTCTGGGTAAAGCATAAAACTAAAAAAATGTTCATCCAATTAAATAGAGTCGAACCAACATCTCTCATAATTCCGATAAGCAGATCAGACTGTCTGTCAGTATATGTAGACTTCTGCGCATCTGTTCACGCAGATCCGCCATTATCACGTGCCCGTCTGCATCACAAACACATGCGCGCGAGCAAGCTGCGGGCCGCTCGCCGATGCCGAGTCGTATGGCGGAGCCGGAGGCGGCGAAGGACAGCTGAGCTCGGGCCGATTACTGTAAAGCCAGGCGCGAGTATAGTTTGCCTGAGGAAGGACGACACCATGGCTGAAGTATTACTGTTAGACAGGTAATGTTTTAAAACTTAGTCAGGCTAGACTTATGTTAGATTGTGTTGTTATGAATGACTTATATGCACAGACGTGTTGTTCAGCCACTGAAATCTCCCGGTGAAAGATTGATGTGATTATTTTCAGTTTCATAAGGTCCTTTGACAGCATCTATAATGTATATTTATATTTAGTGTAACAACAAAGCATCAGTAAATAGTGCTATTCCACCTAACTGCTTTATTGAGCTTTTATGCTGTTAAAAAAGTTGCTTTTATAATCACATTGGGTTAATTTTGAACAATGACAGCTTTCCTATACTGTTTACTATGCTACTCTGAATTTTCGCTCTGAAATAGCATGTAAGTGTGGCAAAGTAATAAATGTAATTCCTGCACGGCGCTGGCACTAACTAACTGGTGAATGACATGAACTAGTGGGTTGTCTGTCTACTGTTGTGACGTAGTGCGCGCGCGCTCTCGATTTCAGGGGGTGTGGCTTTGAATCACAGTCCCTCCCCGCCGTCCAAAGATAATATGCTAAGCGGTTAGCATTTTGGCAGATCACCTACTGCACCTTTAAATAATAATTAATTCTTTAATCTAAATGACAAATGTTACTAATAAATTAGAGATGACGAAATTACACCTAAAATGGCTGCAGAATATTTGTACACCATTAGAAATGGGTAATCAACTTATTTGACTTATTTAAATAATATACACATTTTATTCTTGTAATTATTATAATTTGTCGAGATTGTTTTTATTCATTTTTTCTGTCATTTAGGCTATTTCTCATTGGCTTTACAGGTTATTTCATAAATTTGATGATATCAATATATTACATATTTTCTACATCTAAAATGCTTTGGCAATACTGTACAAAAGCAGCTTGAACTTGAATGAGAGATAGAGAGAAGCATATTTTACCTGTCAGTGGGTGTACATGGCTTCAGAATAGCATATAGCAAATTGCAAATTGAAATAGCAAAGAAGAAATAGTTGATGTTTTTTATTTATTTCAATAAAAGAAAAAGAAAAAGTTTAAAACAGATAATAATATAAATAGTGTTAAAAATCAAATGTTTTGTTTGTCGTTAGCTATTTGCTTTTGTTAACTATTTATGTGCTGTAGGTAAAAGGTGTTTCAATTCAGCTACCACTGTAAGTATATTTCAAACCTATGGGAAGCACTGTGTACTGTATATTCCTGCAAATATATTGAACCAAATATTTTAAACACACATTTCAAGAACATTTACTTAAAAAATCATATAGGATTTTTTTTTAAACACTGAATAAGATGATATTCTCAAAAGAGGCCAGAAGTATTCCTCGGCCAGTTTACCGCGAGAAGTGAATCTCAAGCGTAAATTCATCATAGATTGTGATAGTCCTAAATCTGTGTCAGACAAAGCAGACATTTTTCTTCCACAATAAAGCTGTGGGCATGACATTAGAGGCTGCTATCTGCCTGAACAAACTGCTGCTACACAAAAGTCAATTAATCAACAAGCAAAGGCCACCTGGACCTCAGACTGGAGACTTTATCATGATGTTATTATCAGGAACACCCAGGGGACTATGAAACTTTTGTTACACGTTTGTGGGTGAGATGCTCATTAGCCCAGCAATGGTTTTACAGAAGACTCATTACTTTCCAAAAGCCTGTCACGGTCGTGCCTTTTAAACAGACTGGCAAGGACACCGAAGCATAAATTGTTTACTTCTGTCTCACTTCTACAGGAAAGACCCCATTTATAAGTTTTATTAACCTGAGCAAATCAATCAAATGAAGCCAAAGCAAGAGCCTTTATTAAATAATTGGCCTTTTAAGCACCAAAAATCTTCTTTTTAGACTTCCTACGATGAAGGCTTCAATTGTTCCATTTTTCAAATCTGCTTTCTCACTTAGGAAAGACAGCTTAATGCAAGCAGAGACAGAAAAAGCCTCACTCAGATTCCAGTTTGCATAATTGCGCTGCCATTGTGAAGGCGCCCGAAATGACCCATCATTAATCACATGACTCATTATCAAAGCATAATGAGTCAAATGAAGCCAAACAGTAAAAAATTAAACAGCCATTACAGGACCTCAGAAGGAATACCAAGCTATTGTGAAGTATATTATTCACAATGGCTTTCTAAAAGGGAGTTGTTTGGATTTTAAAAAGGAAAAAACCCAGGTAGCAAGGAATTCTGGCCCAGATTTGGGATAAAGCTGGCATAGCCGGCATTTGTCCGGCACTGGCATTCAGCATGTGGGCCAAACATGGCCCGGGTTTGGCTGAGGTGGCACATCCTTAAGGCGGCACATAAGACTTGGGCCAGATCAAATTTAGCATTTGGCCCAGATGTTAAAAATGTATAAGTGGGCCACACAAGCATATCTTGACCCACTTTTAAAATACATTTAAAATATTTTTGAGTAAAGGAAAAATTCTATCTATCAGGACGCTTTGAGAAATAGTAAAGCCATAAAGTTAAATCCTTCATCGGTTTATCAAACTCACTGCAGTCATGGCATATCTGGCCCAAATCAGGCCCAGTTATGGGTTATTAACTTGGCTGAGACTTGGCCCAGATGTGGTCCATGTTTGGCCCTTGTATGAAAGCCAGACTTGGTCTGATATTGTTCCATAATTCACTACAGCTTGTGGGCCAAGCAAAAGCTGATTGTGTGGGCCAGATCTGGGCCAGAAACATTTCGCTATGTGGGAAGTGTTCATTTAGTACTTGCCTGTATATCCGGTGAAACATTCACATCTGTAAGAAGTTGATGAGACTTTTATGCAAGCTCCTTCTTTGCACCCTTTGCTGCAGTTTTGATTTCCAATGATTTCAGAGCAGTTGACACCTATGATGTGAAAATATAAACGTTATATTAATCCATGCATATTTATTCAGTACACTATGTGATTATCGGCATGCCAGATGTCTGGTTGATGTTATGGTTTTTCTGTGAATAAAAATAATAATAATGATGGTATAATATTGTGATGGATTTCTACTGCTTTCCTGCAATGCACTCATCATTGATCACCTTTTATGAAATCACACAAACATTAACTGCTAACACTTTACAATAAGGTTCATTAGTTAATGCATTTACTAACATGAACTTATCATGAACAACACTTGTACAGCATTTATTAATCATAATTGAACATTTACTAATGCATTATTAACAATTAAGTCCATGCTTGTTAGCATTAGTTAATGCACCATGAGTTAACATGAACTAACAATGAACAACTGTATTTTTATTAAGTAACGTTAACTAACATGAATAAATACAGTAGTAAATGTATTGTTCATTGTTTGTTCATGTTAGTAAATGCATTAATTAACATTAACTAATGAACCTTATTGTAAAGTGTGACCCATTAACTTTACTAAACTTCAAACGCAATCTGGTTTGAAGTAATAATTTAAAATGTTAAGGCCCTTCAGATCATTTCAATATTAAAATAAATATAACTGAAAACTTTATTGAAATATTAATTAAGAAACCTAATTTAAAATGTGCTTAAGTGCAGTTTATCGCTAGTAGAACATTTACTTTGTTTGAAAAAACGTTGCATTATTGCATATATATATTTTTTCCACTTTCAAAAAGCAATATTTCCTAAATGAGCAAAACATTGTGACATCTCATTGTTCAGAACACTGTTTTTCTGCTGGGATTAGTCATTGATTATATTAGTAATCATTTGATTATAATAGTCATGGAATGCATTGACAATAACTCTGTGTGCTTATTAGCCTGCTTTTTTTTTTACTGTACAGTGCATCCGGAAAGTATTCATAGCGCTTCACTTTTTCCACATTTATTTATATTACAGCCTTATTCTAAAATAGATTCAATTCATTTATTTTCTCAAAATTCTACACATAATACCCCATAATGACAATGTGAAAAAATATTTTTTGAAATTGTTACAAATTGATAATAATAAAAAAACCTGAACATAAGTATTGACAGCCTTTGCCATGAAGCTGTAAATTGAGCTCAGGTACATTCTGTTTCCACTGATCATTCTTGAGATGTTTCAGCAGCTTAATTGGAGTCCACCAGTGATAAATTCGATTGATTGGACATGATTTGAAAAGGCAGACACCTGTCTATATAAGGTCTCAGGGTTGACAGTGCATGTTAAAGCACAAACCAAGCATGAAGACTGTAATTGTCTGTAGACCACCGAGACAGGATTGTCTTGAGTTACAAGGCTGGGGAAGGTTTCAGAAAAAATTCTGCTGCTCTGAAAGTTCCAATGAGCACTGTGGCCTTCATCATCCATAAGTGGACTATGTTTGGAACCACCAGGACTCTTCCTAGAGCTGGCTGTCTATCTAAGTTAAGTGATCGGGGGAGAAGGGCCTTAGTCAGGGAGGTGATCAATAACCCGATGGTCACTCTGTCTGAGCTCCAGCGTTCTTCTGCGGAGAATGGAGAACCTTACAGAAGGACAACCATCTGAGCAGCAATCCATCAATCAGGCCTGTACGGTAGAGGTCAGACAGAGGCCACACCCCCTCTGGAATCTGCCAAAACGCATCTGAAGGACTCTCAGAGTATAAGAAACTAAATTCTCTAGTCTAATGAGACTAAAATTCAACTCTTTCGAGTGAATGCCAGGCATTACATTATGAGAAAACCAGGCAACGCTCATCCCCAGGCTAATACTATCCCTACAGTGAAGCATGGTGGTAGCAGCATTATGCTGTGTGAGATACCACAGTGTGAGGTACCTCAAGCTTAAGAGGTACTGCAAAGAGGAATGGGCAAAATTCCCAAAGACACGTGTGCCAAGCTTTTTAAGCACCTTAAATGTCAGGTACTTTCTGTGTTAAAACTGTATTAACATATTTTACAAGCCCAAAGGATCAGTGTCTTTGAACAGAAGCTAGGTAAAAGTTATTTTGTCTCCATGATATACATTTACCAACTGTGTTCAGTTTCAGTTCTGTGCTTTAATTTGTCTCCAATCACAGTGGCCTAGTTGTGATATCCGGTGGTCTCTAAGGAACACCTCTAGTGCTTTTAAGTGAATTATTCAGAAGACTTAAAAACAAATCACATTAGCAAGTATGACATTACATCACTTTGAATATTTGCCAAGAGACCAACATTTAAACAACATTTGGACATTGCCAATATTATTGACAAGCAAGACTGGAGAAAAAAAACGTAACGATAGGTGGCAAAGAAAATAACAAATGATAATAATTATTATGCTCATTTCTGGACTTAAAGATCTAGGAGAGGAGCAATGGAATAAATAAAATCATTTTAAAAATGTCTATTCAAATAAATGGTCCATAAGGGATCTGGTGTTGATAATAATTGCAGAGTGCTAAATGTGAAGCACTTGCAATTATGACAGATAAATAATAAATCTGTGTCTTCAAAGAAACTAGGCTCTTCTCTGTAGGTGGGTGGACATGCATTAAATCTCTCCCTAGCCATTATGATTGAAAGGTCAGAGTGGATTCATAATGGACTCTGCATTAAAGGACTGTTAAGCTCAGTCAACAGCATTTAAGGCATCATTTTGATTCATTGCACAACACAAAATATTGACCGGTCCAATAGAATCTAGTAAGGCATTTGCAATGAAAATAAACCTTATTTCACTGCAATGCTTTTTAAATTCCTGAACGTGATAGCAAACAAGATTTTTAATGTATTGGCATGAACATCATTAAAATGTAATTAAAATGAGTGACATACGTATGTTTAAGACCATTTGTACGGTTACAGTTTGCAATAAGGTTTCATTAGTTAATCTTAGTTAATGTATTAAGTAGCACAAACGAAAATACATTTACCATAGTATTTGTTCATTTTTTTAAATTACAGTTAATGTAAATAAAGTCTTCACTGTTAGTTCATGCCAACACACATGCAGTGTATCAACTAAGTACTACTTTGGATTTCGATAATGGATTAGTAAATTTAACTATGGTTAATACACGTTGTAGTGGTTCAGTTAATTTTTAGTTCATAACAGCAGATACATGAACAAACATTAACCAATGTGTGCTGTTGGACATGTTTTCATCCACTTTGAGGTGATTTTGAGTCTTAATTTGGCCACAACTTTCTCTGTGTTTCAGAAAATTGAATGGATTTTTGATATTTTGGGAAAATGCTTACGGGGACAAATTTACTCCCCTTTCATTATGTTTATGGCTGTTTTTTTTTTCCATTAACGTCAATGACATTTTTTAATCGCAAAGCTATGACACCATATAATGATACATTCTTGAAAGGTATTTAAATTCTTACTGTCCATCACCAGTTGCACTCCTGTAACTCCATGTTTTGCCCCATGTTATGAATTCACTCGAATCTTCACTTCAAACTAAACTAAACTAAAGTTCCTCACCTGTGAATGGAGCAGGACAAAGACATGTGTACGGTGGAAGATCTGTGTAGGCACTTCCCTCACTCAGGCAGGTGCCTCCATTTAAGCATGGCTGCTCATAGCATCCGTCAACGTTCTCGCAGTAACGTCCTGAAAAGTGTTTGTGACACCGACAGGTAAATGAATCATCTTTAAGCGTAGTTCTGCATTCTCCTTTTCCCGAACACAGCCGAAGGAGGGGTGAGCTCTGGCAAAGCTGAGGCTTGACCAGAACTGCAATGCGTAGGCCAAACCTGCACAGATGACTACTCCCTCTATTAATGACCGTAAAGTAATTCAAACCAGACATCAGCCACTTTGATTCCACTTGCAAAGTACCATTTATACTGCTGGCAAATACCAACTGCTCCTTTCGGGGCTCTAAAATCGAGCACTTATCAAACTCCTCTTTAGAAACCTTGATTAGTTGGACACCGTATTGTTCAAGCGTTCCGTCGGCAGAAACAAACAAGAGGTCTCCAAGTTGAAGTTCCAAAGGGCAAAGTTGAGGAAAGTGATATGACCCAGTTGTCCAGAAGTGTCCATTTGTTTCTGCAAAGCTGCTCCAGCACTGGGTCAAACTGCTGCAGGTGTTCTCCATGAGGGTCCACCTCACGCTGATGTTCTTTGGCTGAGTGTGCCATTCACGAGACGTGGCTCTGCGGCAGGTTACCTGGCTGTACACAGGGCCATATATTACACAGCTGAGCAGGAAGACAATGATAGCTAGCTTTGGGTTTCTCATGTTTGTCTTGGCTCGACTGGTTCTTTATTTATCCGCTTGATGTCTTTGTTCAGTCAGGAGCTTTGCTGGATCTTTGAACTGCCACTTTTGATCTGTAAAGCAGGCACGTAGGAGTCTGTAAGACAATATACAATGCAGCAATTTAATGTGTTGCAAAAATAGCATGATTAAAAAAAAAGTAGTAGCATGTTTTCTAACACTGCAAGGATAGATCATGCTTTTAATACTTTTAAGTAGACACATAATGTACATCACTTTGCTTACTTAAGGACTTTAATTTAAGAAAAGGATTTGCTGAGTGTGTTTCTGTGCTAATATCATAGCTGGTTGAGAAACCAATAGACTAAATAAAACGTGAAGCAAATGGCTGTATTTATGGATTGTCCATTGAATCATTGATTCAAAGTATTTGTTTTAATTCAGGATTCTGCACTGTTGCTCTGAGGTGCAAATGTGTTCTGATTTGGCTTTGCATGAAAGTAACATTCTTGTATTTGTACCATTGTGTAGAATAAAATCAATTAATTAAAAATAATCTATCAATATCACTTCATAGTTTGAATTATAGTCATTGTAGGCTTAATCATCAGCTTCAGCTTCAGAACTGTTACTGTAGTGTGCTTTTATTTGTTTGTGCGAAGTGAATGAAATTGATATTATCAATTAAAATAATACACATATAATGTAAAAAAATAGTGTTCCAAACTATTAATAACATATCTTCATTCAAGAATTTAGTCTCACTGATTGCGTTGCATGTTTTTCGTTCATCTAAAAAGAGCTTACGAGAGTCATCTGACCCAGTGGCGATCCTAGTTTAAATGGCACTCTGGGCGAACCACCCTCTATACACCCACAAACAATATATAGACACACCTGACGTGATATGGCAAGACAAAATCTATAGAATACAAAAAAATTGTCTATGCCAACACCCTAGTGGCTAAGCTTACCGACATATAGCACCATGGTGCTCATGTCGACCAGAGTTCAATTCCCGGCTCGAGGTTCTTTAATGACCCTTCCCCTCTTTCTGCTCCCAATACTTTCCTGTCTGTAAAATCTCCACTGTCCTATCTTAATTAAAGGTGAACCCCAAGAATACAAAGAAATAAATGTTTTATAGAATTATCTGTTGTCTAAAATCTGACGCATGACTGAGAATTAATGTTATTAAGTCTAACCTCATTGATTCATCATCTATCCTTTCTGCTTCATAGCTATGCTTCGTCAAAATAAGATCATCATCATCATATTATAGAAACTTTAGTTTTATCGACTTGCAACACTCGCTGTGTGCCGATATACTGTATTTGCATAAAGCAGGCATGTCTAACTCGGTCCTGGAGGGCCGTTGTCCTGCTAAGTTTAGTTCCAACCCCAATCAGACACACCTGGGCTAGCTAATCAAGCTCTTACTAGGCTTTCTAGATACACCCTTGCAGGTGTGTTGAGGCAAGTTAGAGGTAAAATCTGCAGGAGACCGGCCCTCCAGGACCGAGTTTGGACACATCTGGCATAAAGTGCAGTTATTCTGGTTTCACTGCGAATGAGCAGCGTGTATTTTATTGATGTGCATGTAAACAACCAGAATTTACACAGGGAGCAGGAGCAGCACATGTGAGGCATGAAGGAATGGTTTCACCAGTTTACTGTTTTTTTAGCACATAAAGAATAACAAACGTGTGCATACAAAAGACGCAAAATGTGAATGGCCCCTAACGTCTTTATTCTGGGATTACTCTAAAGTAATACACTTGCATAAAGTGTATAGAATCTCAAAGCTTTTACTGGGGTGCAACAGATTTTTACTGGGGCCCTTATTATTTCCCCAATGCTGCCCTCAGCAAGTTGCTAACCTGGGCAATCACTAGGGCCACACAGACTCTGCACGCGCAAAAATCCACAGATTTACACAGAATTTTAGCCCAGAGTCTATTTATTTATGTGAATCTGTGTAAATGTATATTAATTCACTGTTTAAATTAATTTCAGTAATATTATTGACTGATATGAAAATGTTAATTTGATTTATGTAGAATACAGTTTGTAAAGTAATATTCTGTCTTTTAGTAGATTTCTATTATATGAGAGACTTGCTTTGTTTACCAAACAAATAAATAAATAATAATAGTTATTATTTTATGTATAATATATATATATATATATAATAATAATAATTATAATAATAAATAATAATAATAATAAAATAATAACTATTATAATAACTATTATTATTTATTTATTTGTTTGGTAAACAAAGCAAGTATATATATATATATATATATATATATATATATATATATATATATATATATATATATATATATATATATATATATATATATATATATATATATATATATATATATATATATATATATATATATATATATATATATATTATGTTTTAAGTTACGATACTCCCAAAATCCTTCAGCATAAATCTGCAGAATTTTTAACAAAATTCTCAGCAGAAATATAAAAAAAATGTCTGCAGATTCTGTCTGGCCCTAGCCGATCACCCATATTGCTCATTCCTAAATCTGCCACTGATCTGACCACATATTGGACTGTTTTATCCTAATTTTATATTGTGTTTTATATTATTTTTTTGGCACTGAATCTATAAATCTAACTCGTCACCATCACTCTATCACAATTTTCAAATTCAAAGGTTTTATCGAACACCCAACACAGACAGCAAAGAGTGTTATGTTGTACACTCATAGCTTACTGTAATGCTAAAAAAGCTGCTAGCCAGACAGTGATTCATCGTTTCTGAATCATTAAAATATTGTTGTCCAGGACACTGTTAATCACAAGGCTGCAGTGTACGGCTGTGAGTTTTAAAAGCTTAGCTTCAGGATGCGCTGTAAATGAATAGTGCTCATAAGCAGCTGTTGAGATTTGAGTATTCTCACTTAAAACCGAAAAGAGGCTCGAACCAGAAATAATATTAAAAGACATCAAAGTTTAACAAGATGTCAGCAATATCAGCATTATGGATGTGACATTTGCTGTAATAACTTACTCACAGAAATTGTATTTGTTAACAGTATATTGAAACATCTTTGGATATTTAGTAGTAATAATAATAATAATAAAAAAATAATAATAATAATAATATCCACAAAGTTAAGGTATGAGAAAAATATGAATCTGTAAATGTGTTTTATATTTTAATTCAGGGAAATAAAAATGCTTTATGGATGTGACCAAAAAAGCATGCGAGTATACAGCATACTTTGTAGAAATTCTGTGAATTAGCGAAAATAAACACAAAATAAATAATTCTAATCAAAGGGATAAAAGTTGTCTCTCTGTAGAACACAAAATATGCTATTCTTCATATATAAATATTTTTTTTTAATTTGCAATTTTTTTTGCATTTACTGTATGAGGGGCGGCAACAAAGTGGCGCAGTAGGTAGTGCTGTCGCCTCACAGCAAGAAGGTCACTGGTCGAGCCTCGGCTGGGTCAGTTGGCATTTCTGTGTGGAATTTGCATGTTCTCCCTGCGTTCACGTGGGTTTCCTCTGGGTGCTCCGGTTTCCCCCACAGTCCAAAGAAATGAGGTACAAGTGAATTGGGTAGGCTAAATTGTCCGTAGTGTATGAGTGTGTGTGTGAATGAGTGTGTGTGGATGTTTCCCAGAAAAGGGTTGCGACCCCGGATTAATAAAGGGACTAAGCCAAAAAGAAAATAAATGAATGTATGAGCGGCGTCACAGTGGTCCAGTAGGTAGCACGGTCACCTCACAGCAAGAAGGTTGTCGGTTCGTGTCCTGGCTGGGTCAGTTTCCATTTCTGTGTGGAGTTTGCATGTTTTCCCGATGTTTACATGGGCTTACTCAAGGTGCTCAGGTTTTCCCCACAAGTCCAAAGACATGTGCTATAGGTGAATTGGGTAAGGTAAAATGTCCATAGTGTATGCGTGTGAATGACAGTGTTTGCCTGTGATGGGTTGCGGCTGGAAGGGTGCTGCTGGGTAAAACATTTGCTGGATAAGATGGCGATTCATTCCGCTGTGGTGACCCCAGATTAGTAAAGGCACTAAGCTGAAAAGAAAATGAATAAATGAATGCACTTATGAGGAAAAAGCTTTGTTATGTATGTGACATCTGTCCGATGTGAATATGACAGATTTGAAATTGGCAAATTTTTCTAAATCAATTAAAGCCATTTGAAAATAGTCACCTTATAAGGTTCTATCTGATATTTTTTTGTCAAAATTGAGTTTTTAAATAACATATTCTTATTAAATGATAACTTATTTGCATTATGTGATTTTTATTATAAGTTAATTACATTAAGACTTTTTATTTAAAAAAAAAATGGTTTTATTATCAAAGTCGAACTCTCTCTCTCGGCTCTATAAGGTCCTTTCTGTGAGCCAATCAGCATTTCAATGCACACACAAGGACCAATTAGGATTAGCTTTCTTTGTCATTCCATCAGACTGCTCCATTGTTATAAAAATGTTTAACATTTAATATATTCATTTTTTTTAAGTATACAGTGAAATATTTTTCAGACTTTATTAAACTTTAACTCTTTTGCACATAGTCTTTTTTCTTTTACAGTGTTTAAATTTGATATTAAGCCTTGAAGGGCAAATAATTAATTTAATTCACAGGGTCTTAATTACAACTATAAATATTACTTTATTAATTACATAAAATTAACATCTGTGCTGGACAAATATTTTTTCAAGAAAAAAAAGAACAAGAAAAAAAAATCATCCTAAAACATTAAATAAATGTTATAGGAAGCAAACATTCTACATTCTTAAACATCAACAAATTGTTACAACACAAATTTTTCATTCATTAATTTTTTTTCGGCTTAGTCCCATCATTAATCAAGGGTCACTACAGGCTCGAACCAGTGACCTTCTTGCTGTGAGGCGACATCGTTGCCCACTGCGCCACCCTTTTAAATTTATCAAATTAAAAAGCAGACCGATGTTATTTCTTGAAAAGTAATGATCTGCCAGATAGAACCTTATAATTCCAAGCAGAATATCGCTGCGTCCAAAACCGCCTACTACTCAGTAGGTACTGCATTTGCCGTAAGAAAAGTACGTTCTATACAGTATGAATGTGAGCAGTATG